ATAAATCTTGACATGGCAACAAGCTGTGAAGGACCAATAGTCCCATTTTAGTGAGCAACTGAAAGTTTGGTAAGCAACCTCCTGCTTTGTGTCAAATAAGTCATACTTGAGTTGTTTCCTTTTTCAATCCAATTCATGGCTGGGGAGCTTCAAACCCATACCAAGGCCTGTGCGATAATGTCCTTCATTGAGAACTGTTTCCAAAATTGAAAGTAATCCAGACAAAAGTATGCCACAGAAGCAAATTGAGAATATTCTGCAAGTTGTTTATGGTGTGAGAGAATTGGCTGTCTGCAGAGACGTTGCCCAGGGGACACCTGGATGTGTTACCATCCTGTGGGAGGCTTCTCTCATGTCTCCGCATGGGAAGCTGGGACTGACAAGCAGGAGCTCACCCTGTCTCACAGATTTGAACTGCCGACCTTCAGATATACAGATCAGCAGTTTAACTGGCACAAGGATTTCACCCATTACAGCACCACGGCTCTCCACTAAAACAAATTGATTGTTTATAACACTTATTTTTCTCTTTGGGTCAAGCTGGTTTAAAATTGCATTCATAGATGCCTATACTGTACTATCTTTTGATTTCAAACCAGCGAGCTGTTTGAAAGCCATTGAATTCCTGGAAACATTACGCACAAGACAGGGCACTGCTTTAATGTACTGCGAAGAGAAGAAAAGAAAGCACAGACTGTTTACTCGACAGAGATCGACAAGAGATGGAAATATTCTGGCACAAGAGGTCTGAGGGCAAGCATTCAAAGAGATCAAACAATACAAATGTTCACAGACATAAACAATATGAAATCAGGACATTTAGATTGATGCTTAAGCGAGGGTATTGTGCAGGTGGTGAAATCTGCAAACAGCTTTCTAGGTGTGATCATTCAAAGTGACTTCAAAGGCTACAGTGTCAACATAGTTGAAAAAGATGCTTTTGATTGTCAGCATGAGCTTAGTACAGATCATCTGACATGCCTCTGACCTACATTATACCTAATGATAGACCTGATCATGTATCATGTCTTTCTTTCAAGGAAAGGCCTTTATTCCACTCTTGTTATCGCATATATAGGTTTTTTTTGTTGTGTAAGGATCGACCTGAGAAACTGCAAGTCACTTCTGGTGTGAGAGAATTGGCCATCTGCAAGGATGTTGCCCAGGGGACACCCGGATGTTTGATGTTTTACCATCCTGTGGGAGGCTTCTCTCATGTCCTGCCATGGGAAGTTAGAGCTCAAACGGGAGCTTACCCCATTCTCCAGAATTGAAATGCCAACTTGTCAGCAGTCCTGCCGGCACAAGCGTTTAACCAATTGTGTCACAAGGGGCTCAATTTTTGCAATAGTTTTAAATGATAGTTCCCATAAAATACAGTAAACAAAGCACATGGAAATTGTACTTCAAATTGTCACCTATTTTTTGCTTTTGCAAGAGATGTAGGAATTATATGTTGGACTATAGCTCCCAGGGGCATCTAAAGCCAATGCTGGCAATTGTGGCCCAACAATATCTGCAGGAAGCACATTCCCCAAGCCATCTCACTATGTTTTATTGTGTTGTAGCTGCTACAATTGGCAATGAGATAGAAGAGCGTTTCTTCAAGTGGTAGCTCACAGACTGGTACCAATGAATGAACAATGAGTTTCCAGGAAAGAGAGTTATGGTCAGAGGATGCAAATATACCAATCCTTAAATCATGAAAGGTGGAGGGATTGCTGGTCCTCTGACATCAGGTATCTTGAGATACACTGGTGTCAAATATTTAGGCAAATTGGGAGGTTTATAGTATCAACTTATCCAAAAGCCACCAGTTCACAGTCAATTTCAAGAGAATTGATGAAGAGCTGGCATTGCCTATACCTCAGCCTTCTCAATGAGGAAAAGCAAGTGCAGTGAACCTTTTCTGGGAAGGATTCGGGGTCTGCAGGTGAGACGGTGAGATCTTACAAGCCTCCATATATGCATAGCACAATCCAGGCCACGCACTAGGAGCAGATCTCATACATAAGTAACCTTCCAACCCTCTTGTTAGACAGGAATGGCCCTTGCACTATACAAGGAAATTGGGCTGTCCAAAGGGCAGAATGGGGCGAAAAGGACTTATTGTGACTTTAACCAACACAGAAGACGATTAGTGCTAAGACAGAGAAAGAAACAATGTTATAAAGAGAAAACTGGCAAATGGGAACAAAACAACAAGAAAGGAAACTAAACATTGCCCCAAGCTAGCCAGCCTTGGTGGAAAACAAGTTAAATCAGAGCAGAGAATAACAAAGCATTAAAACAAAAAGGGAAAAAAACCCACCATGCCACTCTGTCCCTTGAAATCTTGAATTGCTGCTTTGCATATTGTTTTGAGGTCAGCCTTTTAAGATAAAAATTAAGATAACAATTAAGGCTGACTGGTGACAAGGTTTTTTCCACTTTGATACTAAAAATACAGGGGGAGAAATGCCAACCATTACAATTGTAATTTGATTTTTAAAAAAGGATGAACTATAAGGCAGAAATATCAGCTAAGGCCACCATCTAGATCAGTGTTTCTCAACCTTCCTAATGCCGTGACTCAGGTATGTAGCTGAGGGGGGGGGGGGCTTGAGGGGCTTCAGCCCCCCCCCCCGACATTTTCAGGGTGGTCCGCAAGAAGGCCTTACTGGTACATTATTTAAACTGTTATGTTTATTCATATTATGATCTGATCACCATGCTCAATATATCCCATATGCATGGAGGTATTGGGATAACGATACAAAAGGTTTGCCCCCCCCCCCCGAACCAAACTCAGCCCCCCCCCCCCGAAACAAAATCCTGGCTACGGGCCTGCCGTGACCCCTTAATCCAGTTCCTCATGTTGTGGTGACCCCCAACCATGAAATTACTTTTCTTGCTACTTCATAACTGTCATTTTGCTACTGTTACAAATCAAAATGTAAATATCTGATATGCAAGAAGTATTTTAATTTACTGGACCAAATTTGGCAAAAACACCCAATATGCCCAAATTTGAACACTGGAATACTGGTGGGGTTGGGCGGTGGGCTGATTTTGTCACTTGGGAGATGCAATTGTTGGGATTTATAGTTCACCCACAATTTTTAAAAAAACATTCTGAACTCCACCAAAGATGGAATTGAACCAAACTTGGCACACAGAACTCTCATGACCAACAGAAAGTACTGGAAGGGTTTGGTGGGCATTGGCCTTGAGTTCTGGTGTTATCGTTCACTTATATCCAGAGAGCACTGTGGACTCAAACAGTGATAGATCTGGACCAAACTTGGCACGAATCCTCAATATACCCAAATGTGAACACTGGTGGAGTTTGGGGAAAATAGACCTTGACATTTGGGAGTTGTAGTTGCGTTGCAAGCGAGTTTGGTGGGGACGAGGGACAGGGCCTTCTCTGTGGTGGTCCCCTGACTCTTGAACTCTCTCTCCAAGGACATCAGACAAGCCCCAACGTTGGCAATCTTTAGGAAGAGCCTGAAGACCTAGCTGTTCCAGTGTGCCTTTCTAGATTAGGAAACTCCTGGCATCATGTCCCAAATGCACTTTGTTAGAGACTAGGATTGTCTGCACATTGCACCTACCTCCAAAAACCTCTACATACCTCCTGTCAAGTTCAGCACTTTTAAATTTTGTCCATTACATTTCGCCCGGCCTTTAGGTTTTAAATGCGTCACGATGTCATTGTTTTTAGTGTTTTATTATTTTTGCTTGATGTCTTATTATTTGCTTATGAGTTTTACTGTTATATTTGTATGTTGTTGTTGACGGCGGCCTTGGCCTTTGTAAGCCGCATCGAGTCCTTCGGGAGATTTTGTGGGGTATAAATAAAGATAATAATAATAATAATAGTTCACCTACAATCAAGTAGCATTCTGAACCTCACGAATAATAGAATTGGGTCAAACTTTCCACACATAGCTGCTTGTCGAGAAGGAAGCATAGGCAACCAAATTTAGTGATGTCTCTCTGAAGTTCAGTAGGTTGAGTGTCAATGTTCACCAGTGTTCACTTCTGCATTTTACACACTCTTGTGTTCACAGGATCACTCAGCTGCTAAGCTTTCTGCATATTTGCATATTTCATTGGAAGAAAGGTCATTGTCAATTCACACACCCTTAGCCTGATAGACGTGAACTTGCTGCTCCTCTTCCTTGCAGATGCTTCCTATGAGTAAAAGAAGGTAGGAGGAGGGAAATACCAGCCAGCAGAAGAATTGTTGCCACAGTCACCCTTTTGATTAAACAATAGTTATGTTGGAGTTATGAAATCATTACAGAACACTTTCCTGTTTTTGCAGATCTCCCTTGATTTGAGAAAGGAGTACTACAGAGAAGTAAGTGGTACTGGTTTACTTTTATCTAGCTCTCTATGGTGGGTACTGCTTCACCTAGTATGCTGTGGTTCGCCATGCATTCTAGAAGGCTCAAAGGAGCCCTGAGATGAAAGTGATATAAACACATGGAATAGAATCCTACTAATGGTTGCTACTAAAAGTCTCATAACTATTTACTCTAGTTTTGAAACTCCTGGATCTCTGTACATACCAGATAGTTTTTTGATTTGTGCAGAAATTAGTAGTGTTAGAAAGATTGAACTCTCATTGGCAGCTACCCCTAGAATGAATATACTAGACGTCAATGTCTAGTGCACTTTCGTCCAATGCTCTAGTTCATTAGTTACAATTTGCACTATTCTATTTCCTTGTTCCTGTTTACAGTTGGCCTTGTTTTATGACAGGTTATTGACCATTGTTTTGAGCTTAAATTATTGTTTTATATGCCATTTGTTTTTTCTTGTATTGTATTTTGTGTTTATTTTATGTGTTGTTTTAAGAACATTGTGCCATATGTAAGCTGCTCCAAGTTGGAGAGATGGAGGCGGGGTACAAAAATAAAGTTATTATCATGCAACATCACCCAATATTTAAATGAAATAATCTTATTTCTAATACATCAAATGCGCTACAAATAAAACACAGAACACAATTTGAAAAGAAGTGATATTTAATTAAAGTTTTTCATATCCATCATACTAAACATATTAGTTGTGAACAGGAATCTTAATTACAGGTCTTTTAAAACCTTTTTTGTGGCTACAGGAAGCCAGCTTTCCAATAGAACTTTATAACACATGATGATGCACAATGTATGCAATGTTATCATAGATAGGCTGTGAAAGACAAAAACGAGCCAACACTATTTGAAATAAATTTCACATGTTGTTCCCCTCCCCCCTCAAAAAAGGCAAAATATGGTGTCATTCTTGTTAATGTAGAATTACAATGCTCATACAAAACAATATTTTGCAAATGCACTTTGAAGAAAAGTCCAGAGAAGTATGCCTATAAGAAGTAAGCAGACTATATATATATATATTTAAAAGGACAAAGGGAAAAGGAAATAAAAGAACACAAAGATCTTCTGGAGTATTATTTTACTTCTGAGGCATATCTAATCAAAGCACCAAGATGCAGTGTAGTGATACAATTACTAAAAATTCATTAAATATAATTTTCTTCCAATTTTAAAACCTCACAGTGGTTTAGGAGTTATTCTTCTGTATGTTTCAGTTTTTTATTACGCCATTTCTACAGCAGCCATTTCCTGTGCTAGTTGAGGGATAATGGGAGTTGAGATCCAACCTATTTGGAGGGTACTAGGTTGGCGAAGGCTGCTCTGTTAGATTCAACCAACTAAGCATCAGTGCTCCATAACTGGCATTGAATGTTTGCCATTTCTGCTATACTTTGGAAACCGCCCTGAGTCCTTTAGAGGAGAGAGGGCAGGTTATAAATAAAGTTTTATTATTATTATAACTTCCATTCAAGTCCCACTGAAATGAATGGAAAACAAGAAGCAGATATGCAGGCAATGGCAATATCTTCTACACTTGCCTCTATAGTTGTACTATAACTACAAAGTTAGCTTTGCACAAAAAGAGCAATGTCATGTGTTGAATCTTCAAGGTGATAGTACTATACATTATGGATTGCTTGGGGGTGGGGATGACAATGCATCTTGCAGTTATCTAAAATCGGACAAAAGTGCCCTCAAGCAGCTAGTGGTATTTTGGAATTGAGTTTACAACTACGTATTATGACTGAAAAATGAGATAACTTAAGTCAAAAAAATAAACCAGGTTCTTGACCCAAAGGTTTCAAGACTCAAAGTCAAAAGGCATTTTTATAATACAAAGTTGGCACATTTTTTTTACTTTATTAAAATTACATCCCTGCAGTTTATGGCATGGTTTTTGTAATACTCTCCTTCAGTTAGTAAAATACGTGTGTGTAATCAAGATCTAAAGTACTGCTGGTGAAAATATTGGTTTGGGTCCAATGCACCTTGAGCAGAAATAAAATGGCTTCAAGCACTATAGGAGTTGTTTACAGAGGTTCTACAGTAGTTGCCATACTTCCTCTTGTGCAAATCAAGCACTGTCTTTGGACATGTCATTGCTATCCCATACATTATTCAGAAGCAGGTCTCACTAATGTTCAGTGGTGCTTATTCCCCAGAATCCCATTTTAGGACTGATGCCTCACTGCTTAAACCTGTAATCATGTCCATTCAGAATTACATTCCACAAAGCATGAGTGGGATTTCTTGAACTATTTATGCCTGTGAAGTGCAAAGAGTCCTTCAACAAGCAGAAATTTCTGTCATAATCATAAGGGCACCTTTAGATCGAACTTATTTTGTCTAAATACCCTATATACTCATGTAAAAGTTGACCTCATGGGCAGGATTTGGGGCCAAAATTCTGGATTTTGATACCATCCACAAATAAGTCAAGGGTCATTCCATGTAGAACGGAAAGCATCAATGTTGCCTAAAGGAGATGGCCACCCGTGGCCACCTCCACTATTTGCCCACCCAAGCATTCAACAAGGTCAGAAATGGCACAACAGCAGAGAGTAGAAGGGGGTCGGTGCTTCTTTTAGGTTCTTGCCTTTTACCATTCTACTCAGAGAAAAGGGTAGTTCCTTTTCTGGCAAGAGTTAAGGAACAGTACTCACACTGACACAGCAATCCAGGTTTTTTGTGTTGAATTTGGATGACAACATCTAGACTTATACATGAGCATAGAGGGCAAATATAACACATGATCATGCCAATCCATTTTTTTAAAATGTTTTAAAAATAATCTTTAGATGATAATAGTAATGGCATGGATCAACCAGGACCAGCTTGAGGGTTCCAGACCTTCAGTCTTACATTACGACATCTTGGGAAAAGACGAAAGAAGGAAACAGAAGGTTATAAGAAACAGGTTTTACCACAACCTCCATAATTTCCCTTTCTCTTCTCCTGCACTCATTCCCCCCAAGGTGCCTGCATCCTGGCATTGCCTTTGACAATGTGCCCGTTATGCTTCTGCAACACCAAAAATTTACCTGACTTGGTAGCCAATAATTTGAAGATGCCTATTCAAAGCATTTGTAAGTACTCTAAGTCAGTCCACTGTAATGTGATTTTGTTGTTTAAGGTTATGACCTACTAATCTCAATAAAGTGGAAAGTAAGTAAGGGAGCAATGTATTTGGCTCAAATGTCTGATTCCATGCTAAAAGAATGTGTCTGGCTGTACTCTACAGGAATGTACACAGCAGTACTTGCTGGTGGCTGTATAGTGCAGGAAACATTTACAATGCTTTACTTGCATGTAAGCTTAAAATTAATTCAGTAATTTCACAAGTTAAACTCATTTCTATATGAAAATACTAAACTGGGCAATGTATAAAAAGAAAGACTTTAAAATGTGTTAACTTCACAAATAAAGATGATTCACAAAAGGAAAAAGTTCTAATTCCCAATGAAGGGTAGCTTCTTACCAAGAAAGAGAAAAGTAAAGGCCCCAAGAATTAACATAGTGGTGTGTGTGTGTGGAGCGTGTCTTTTTTGTCACAACGTCTGTTTTTCGACAGTGGCAATGAGGCACTATGGATTTCCCCACTTTAGGGCTAATGTTAAAAGGAAACACTTATTTGGCAGCTCTGCCCATACAGATTCATTGCATTCAGAGACCTAATAGGACAAGGGCCAATTCTGATGTGAGGGAAAAAAAGAGAGTAGTATTGACATCACATGTGACTTAAACACAGTATTTATGCTTTTCATGTCCCACTGCAGCACTACTTCCTTTTTTAAAGAAAGGAAAATCAATAACTCGCTTTCCTGACTGATTTTTATGGATTGAACCAGTTCCAGGAAAAGTTCAGTGTTCCCAAATTTCAAGTCACAGCATCCAAGTTCAATTCACTTTCCCAAGCTTCTCACATATAGGACAAGTCATGATCCTAACACATGCTGAATGACTGACAAACCTGATCCAACACATATATATCAAGCTAGGTTGTTACATGCAATAAAAGTTGTATGAATCAGCCGTCAGAAAGGCAGACTTGCGTACTTCAGGTAAATAACACCTTAAAATAAGCCAAAAGGTAAAGAATATTGATTGTTTTTTAGTACAGCCTTAAGAATATTAATGGAGGTATAGTTCTTGGGAACTGATATTGGAGGAAACACTGTTCTCCTGGTCCAACATTTTCTGTGTTTCAATATGCAATAAGCAAATAAAAAATGTCATCCAATGGATGGCTGAAATATGGAGACAAAAGCCATCATATTAATCAATATACTTAAGAAACTGTCCATTCTGAGAAGGTAGACAGAAATACAATAAGCCAAATGAGTTTGACTGTTTATATTATACTGTTTCCAAAGCTGCCATTTATCATTTTAAATGATAAAAAGAAAACTTGGCAATTATGGCAATTGTTGGTTTCTTGTAGTGAATGACTTTTAACTTGGTTTTTGGGTAGTGTACTGTTAAAGAAATCTAATACAAATGTCCCTTATCATCTTGCAGGGTGTACTAATGTAGAGAAAACTCAACAAAAGCTTGATCCTACAGTTTCGGGTTAACATATGCTGAGCACCAGTGAGTGGAGCAGGAACCTTGGCTTACTGGCTCTGCAACCAGCTTCTCAGTGTAGTCACAGTGAAACCAGGTATTCTGGGTTTGGTTTGATTTTACCTGTTCTGAAGCAGATACAATTACTACCAATTAAAAAGAAGAAAACTAGCTCTTCTTAGCAAGAGGGCTTTTCATTAGAATGGCTGAAAGTGGAAAGTTGCATTGGAAACACTGTATGTTCTCTGTGGCTAGGGTTCTGTTATCTGACTATAAATTTACAGTGTCTTATGAGTGGAGTTTAACTTGCTGCACCCTCTGGTGGTGCACTGGGTTAAACTGCTGAGCTGCTGAACTTGCTGACCGAAAGGGTGGTGATTCAAATCTGGAGAGCGAAGTGAGCTCCCACTGTTAGGCCCAGCTTCTGCCAACCTAGCAGTTCGAAAACATGCAAATGTGAGTACATCAATAGGTACCACTTCTGCGGGAAAGTAATAGTGCTCCATGCAAACATGCTGGCCACATGACTATGGAGGTGTCTATGGACTACGCCAGCTCTTTGGCTTAGAAATGGAGATGAGCACCAACCTCCAGAGTCGGACACAACTAGCCTTAATATCAAGGGGAAACCTTTACCTTTTTATGAGTGGAGAAGCTCCTGTTATGGCAGATTACTATATTAAAAAGAAGAAAACACTATTAAAGTGCTAGTAACAAATGGAATGCAGATACCTACTGATGGCTTAAGCCAATACTGTTTCTTTCCATTCAGTATCTCACCAATACCTGAAGTGTACAGATATTTTAATAAGGTTTACAATGATCAGAAATTTGCTGCTCAGCACTGTTGCAATTATTCAGGAATCACTATGGAATAACAGCTGGTTCCAACCGGCCTTGTGCAGAAGCAATATCATGACAGATTTCTCTCTGAGTCTTACTCTTAACATGGTTTGGCATTTGTGAAAATGTGAATTTAGCAGAAGATCCTGGATGCTTCCAGAAATCAGTTCAATAGGAACTATGCAGGAAAGGTAGAGTGAAAATTCCTAATTAAAGTCTAGTGAAAAGGAAAGGAACTTCAACTTTAGATGCTATTTTCAGAGTGTATGTGCTACTCAGTAGAGTCTATACTTCAGGGGAAATATGAGACAGGCAGAAACAAAAGCTATAAACCAAAGGTCACCTTTCAAAGTTATGTTGGGAACAAGAATTTAAACTAAGTATACGTTGATAAGCACTTAAGACATTGTGAAAAAGCTTAAGACATACTTGATGGTAAAGGCATGAACTGCAAGAATTTATCAATAAATGCAGCAATTAACTCTGAAGGATGCACTTTAAAGAATGCACTTGGGAATGTGTGTATATACCTAAAACAAACATACATACACACTCTAGCTATAGACACAAATTATATACACAAGCCTCTACACAGGTATAAAATCAAACGTAAAAGTAAGCTTGATTAGGACTCTATACTTGTCTGCCTCACTATTCTGGAAATGAAGCTCAGGCAACTTTGGTCTTGATTGTTCAACCTAACACCTGGAACTGTGAACACACATTGCACTTGAAAGGAGAACCCAACCCAACCCAACTTCATTCCAGCAACACCAACACAACCCAGTTCCCAACAGTGCTCTTCAAACTAATTCATTTACAAGAAGTAACTTGATAAACCTCGCATTCCTAGTTAGAATGCTATAAAGAACAGAAATTTAGAAAACTTAAACGTTCATTTATACATGGTATGTAAATGAGTTGTGGTTTTATGCAGTTGGTACCAGGTGACCTTCAGGTTACTTCTCTTAAGAATCTTCCTGGTTGGTTTTGTAGGGGAGGGTCTTGAAGGCATTTCACTGCTTTGCCTATAGGATAGTACAGGTCTTTTTATCCTTGAAGGGATTTTCTGAAGCAGGTATACCCATTAGTAAAGGATCCTTCCTGGCATGTTCCTCACAGTAGCACATTAGATCTGCCGACGCCTTGGACACCTGAAGCAAGGAAAACATGCAGAATGGTAAAGAATAAAAAATGACTATGGAGCACTTAGTGTTGGGTTGTATTTTTATATTTTCTTCATAATTATGTTTTAAAGCAGTGGTTCCCAACCTTTGGTCCTCCAGGTGTTTTAAATTTCAACTCTCAAACTCCCAGCCAGCTTACCAGATGTTAGGAATTGTGGGAGCTGAAGTCCAAAACACCTGGAGGAGAAAGGTTGGGAACCACTGGTTTAAAGGTATTTAAACTGTTTTTTAACAATTAATATTGCTATTGTTTTTAACTTTTGTAAACAAATATTTGGAAAGGCAGTGTTGTGTTTGAGTGTTGGAGTAGGGACCCCACAAAGCCATGGAAACCCACAAGGGAGATCATGGGCAAGTCACACTCTCTCAGTCTCAAAGGAAGGCAATGGCTAATCCCCACTGAACAAATCTTGCCAAAAAAACCTCATGACAGATATGGCTTGAAGGCACAGTCACAACAATGACACTAATATTTTAGCTTAGTTTTTTTAATTATTGTAAGCTGCCTCGAATCCTATTTTATGAGAAAGGCAAGATATATTCAGTAAACATAAAATAAAATGTTGTAGCGTGATTTCCTAGAAGAGGAGTAAGACAAATAATAAAAGAATTTTACACTACATACTTCAAGCGGATTTATAAAACAAATGAATGAGGAAATATGAAAATTAACACAGAATTTGAACCCAAATGGAAGGGCCATTGACATTTAGCTTTTCTTTCTGGGTGAATCCACATACAATACAACCCTTTATGTGTAAGGGTAAGATGCATGAACTTACTTTAGAAAAAGGAAACCATGGACAATAGTGAACCCTATTGAAATAGATTACCTAGAATGTGTTAGGTCCTCCAAGGCGACTCTATAGTAACATCCTGTAGCATGACATAGAATCACATGGACCTATACTGTCAGGTGTGTAGGTGAAACCAGTAAAGGGGTCATACTGTATAAGCAAATTCTAAACAAGGATTTGAATCTTACTAGAAGATTCTCACTGAATTGGTGCAACTTACCTAAGTGCTGAGTGACTATGCAACAACTGCTTTGATGGGTCTAGCCATTTTTGAAGTAATCAAGAATACTAAGATCAGGATAGCAAATGCATCCAAAAACATATTAACATCTTAAACTGTTCATGTATACATTTACAGGATCTTTTGGCAAATATGCATGTTGGCATTTATTTGTTTGTTTATTTTGTGTAAAAAGCATTGCATTAATAAGTATAATGTTGGCATTATGAATCAGGAATGTATTTTCTGGTCAGTGCTACAAAACCACCAAGATATGTTGGGCAACTGTTCAAAAGAACCAGATTTTGACATTTTGCAAGAATCTCTAACGGAAAAGATGCTTAGGTTTAGATAAATACAAGTCACTTGATATGAGTGGAAAACATCTTCTTACCTTTATTCTTTCTATAGATGCTTCTATTCTCAATTGCTGAACAGTTCTTCTGGCCTGAGCTATGTTGTTTGTAGTGCCAGATGGTTTGCTAGACATTTTCAGTGTTGTCTTTCAGTCACTGTTAAGAAAAGCCAACTGGTTATTTTTTCAAGAGGCCAATAAAGGTTGCCAATTTACACCACATACATAGATTTCATATAAACCCTCAAAATAATATGTAGTGCTTGGAGAATTTCATGTTTGCTTTGTTTAAAAGAAATTATGCAACTACATCATGTTGTTAACAAATTAATAAAATCTAAAGAAATTTGGATTTAAAAATTCACCATTTAAGTACCGATTGATTTACTTTGTTCTTCTACAGGCATTAAATTAGTATTGGAAATTATTAGTGTGAGCCAAAATCTACGAAGAGGAAGGGATCACAGTATTTTCATGAGCAGGGAGTTTAGGATGTACTACATGGCTCATTTGCAGCTTGACATGTTCTTGAATCCATCTATGGCTGTAAAATTAAGTAGACTCTGTGCTGTTCAACAGTTTGGAAGAGAAAGGGGAGTCTAGAAAGGTTATTTATCTGGGCAACAACTTCCAGAATTCCCTGAGAACCAGCAATGCTGGTTGGGGGATTCTGTGAGCTGTCCAAAAGCATAATCTTCCCATGCTCCTGCTACTTCTCCTTTGATCTGCATTTTTCTAGTATACCGAACCTTCAGGACTGAAAAACAGGAATTATAAACAGCTCTCGTTACACATCTTTGGAGTGAAGGTAGCAATCATGCCAAGAGCATGATTTTCCCTCACACTGAAAAAAAAGATATTTTTAAAAACTCTCCTCTCTTCAAGTGCTAGGGAAGACAGAACTGTCTCCTCTTAATGCTCTCCTTGTATTTCTCTAGAAAATGAAGAAATTCTCTTGGATTAAAACATTCGTGATTTATAGTTATTTCCCTATCTTTTGCTTTTTAGAACTTAAAGGATATACCTATTTGGAAACTTCAATTATTCATCTAAAATAATCATAAATGACCAATGTTTAATCTAACAGCTCCCCCTCATTCTTCCAAATTCAATGCTTCTGCCACTGGTACATGTCTGCAGAAGATCTGGCATAATGTGAATTCAGAACTCCTTACAATAAGCAAGTGTGCTTTCCACATTACATATTGCTTAAGGCAGCAGGATAACAAATAAGAAAACCCTCCTTCTGTAGTTTATGTAGTGTTACATCCAAACAAGAATATGTTTGGATTAGAAGAACAAGTCAAAATCATGCCAGGGCTTGTTCTTGGCTTATGATTTTTTCTTGTTGAGACAACAATGTCCCAATGGCTCTAGTCTGAATGTAACACCAAACAAGGCTGAGACAGAGGCATTCTGGTTTGCTGAGCTGCCAACTAGAAAGGTTGGGCAGCATTAGCCAAGCAGTATTTATCTGCATATTTGCTTGTTTGTGATAATCTACTGTTCAATCTGAAGTCTGGTGCACTGTGCATATGAAAAGCTAAATGGTACGAAGACTACTTCTTAAGTGAATAAAAAATAACAGGAAGAAACGTGAAAAAAAATCATGTTCCTTTTCTCAGCTAATAAAAAGGGCTCTGTATTGTTTATTGGTTTTGCCAAAAATTGTAGTTTCTATCCCGGAATAAAAGGTCAGAGACATATCTGAGTCACAGAGTTTCAACAATCTACCTCCTGGATGCCTTCCAGTGAGCTCATCATGTTTTGCCAAAGACTGACTACAACAGCTCATGGTGGCTTTGCTGAAATGGCTTTTTAGCCTTCATGATGCCATCTAAGTGTCTGAAATACAACTCCTGAACAGATTTCATATGAAACAGAGCCACAAATTGGAGTGCTTTACTGACAGCTGTGCAAGCAGTAAACAAGATCCTTGTAAGCAAGCAGAGAAGGAAAATCTATAAACAATACTAAACCTGACTCTCAAAAAAGCAAAAATGGCTGTCCAAAAGGAGCTGCAACAGACACAAATCATCCCTGAGCGTCTGCTCAAGCTGGCATCTTCCAATTTATTGCAAAGTTTACAGTAAAATGTCTACCACAAAGGTCCTGAGAACTCTTTCACCATTATTTCCACAGTACTATGTTCTCTTATGTCTGTTTTCCAGTAATACACTTTACAAGTTAAGAAATCCTACAGCAATCTTTAGAAGCTATAATGTTGTTTCAACATGTCCATCTTGGTTAAGGGAGATTGCAGAGGAAATGGAGACCCCTAATTTCCTTTATGGGTCACACATTTTTTTCATTGATTATTATTTCCTTCATAGAATTGGCATGCAAGAAATTACTGATTTTTTTCATGAGCAATATTATGAAGTTAAGATTCATTCCGTCATATTTTTATCTTTATTTATTTATTTATTTACTTTGCTTCTATACCGCTGTTCTCAGCCCGGGGGCGACTCACAGCGGTGTACAACATAGGCAAAACAAATTCAAGACACAGTATAAAAACAATTCACAATCCGGCAATATACAAAAACATCGTCATATACAAAAACATCGTCATTACTACGAAACCATTCAGCGTCGTCTCATCGTCCAAATCACCATCCAGTATCATTATCCGTTATTCCATTCCTGTAGTCATTACCAATCATTGCACTTCTTGTTCGAACGCCTTCTTGAACAACCAAGTCTTTAATTTCCTGCGGAATATCATCAAGGAAGGAGCCAGTCTAATGTCCACGGGAAGGGTGTTCCACAGCCGAGGAGCCACCACCGAGAAGGCCCTATCTCTCGTCCCCGCCAGCCGTGCTTGTGACGCGGGCGGGATCGAGAGCAGGGCCTCCCCGGAAGATCTCAAAGTTCTGGTGGGCTCGTAGGCCGAGATGCGGTCGGAAAGGTATCTTGGGCTGGAACCATTTAAGGCTTTATAGGCCAACGCCAGCACCTTGAATTGAGCCCGGTAGCAAATCGGCAGCCAGTGGAGCTGGTACAGCAAGGGGGTTGATGCTCCCTGCGTCCCGCTCCTGTTAATATCATGGCTGCCGCACGTTGGACCAATTGAAGCTTCTGGGCCATCTTCAAAGGCAACCCCACGTAGAGAGCGTTGCAGTAGTCTAAACGGGATGTAACCAGAGCGTGGACTACCGTGGCCAAGTCAGACTTCCCAAGGTACGGGCGCAGCTGGCGCACGAGCCTAAGCTGTGCAAATGCTCCCCTGGTCACCGCTGAAACCTGGGGCTCCAGGCTCAGCGATGAGTCCAGGGTCACACCCAAGCTGCGAACCTGCGCCTTCAAGGGGAGTGCGACCCCGTCCAGCACAGGCTGTAACCCTATACCCTGTTCGGCCTTGCGACTGACCAGGAGTACCTCTGTCTTGTCTGGATTTAATTTCAGTTTGTTCGCCCTCATCCAGACCGTTACAGCGGCCAGGCACCGGTTCAGGACCTCGACAGCCTCCTTAGTAGCAGGTGGAAAGGAGTGACAGAGTTGGACATCATCGGCGTACAGATGACACCGTACCCCGAAACTCCGGATGATCTCTCCCAGCGGCTTCATGTAGATGTTAAACAACATGGGAGACAGTATTGAGCCCTGTGGAACCCCACAAGACAAAGGTTGTGGGGTTGAACAGGTGTCCCCCAATAACACCTTCTGGGATCGGCCCTCAGGAATGACCGGAGCCACTGTAAAACAGTGCCCCCGAGACCCATCCCTGCGAGGCGTTCCAGAAGGATACCGTGGTCGACGGTATCGAAGGCCGCTGAGAGGTCCAGCAGCACCAACAGGGACACACTCCCCCTGTCGAGCTCCCGGCGCAGATCATCCACTAAGGCGACCAAGACTGTCTCAGTTCCATGTCCCGGTCTGAAACCAGACTGTGCCGAATCCAGATAATCCGTGTCTCCCAAGAATACCTGGAGTTGTGAGGCCACCACGCGTTCCAGGACTTTGCCCAAAAAGGGGAGATTGGAAACTGGCCAGAAGTTGTCAAATTTAGTGGGGTCCAGTGATGGTTTTTTCAACAGCGGTTTTATTATAGCTTGTTTTAAGCTCGCTGGAATCTTGCCTTCCCGAAGGGAGGCATTAACCACCACCTTAACCCACTCAGCCAATCCCCCTCTGGCCTCCTTCAAAAGCCAGGATGGGCAGAGGTCCAGGATGCACGTGGTAGGCCTCATTCCTCCATATCTTGTCCACATCCTCGGGTTTCACCAATTGAAATGAATCCATCAAAACTGGACAAGCAGGTGCTCGTGTTACATCCTCAGAGACTGCCCTTAATATGGTGTCCAGACCAGAACAGATAAAAGCGACTTTGTCTGCAAAGAACTGAGCAAAAGCTTCACAGCGAGAAGCTGAATTGTCAGGGTTCCCGACTAGGGCGGCAGGGTTTAAAAGGCCTCTGACAATTCGGAACAGCTCAGCCGGACGGTTCTTTGCAGACGCAATAGTGGCCGCAAAGAAGGCCTTCTTTGCGGCTTTTATTGCCGCGGCATATGCCCTTAAAAAGGACACAAACTGTGTTCGATTTGGCTCACTCGGATCCGAACGCCACACACTCTCTAGTTCCCTCTTCCTTCGCTTCATCACTGCCAGCTCCTCGGTGAACCAAGGAGCTGGTTTAGCTCGGCTACTTGAGAGGGGACGTTCCAGAGCGATCGTGTCAATTGCCCTAGTCATCTCCCCATTCCAGAGAGCGACCAGGGCATCAACAGGATCACCTACCGAGGTGGTGGAGAATTCCCCAAGAGCCGTCAGGAATCCATCCGGATCCATAAGCCTCCTGGGGCGGACCAACTTAATGGGTCCTCCACCTCTGCAGAGGTTGGGGGGCGCAGTGAGCCTAAATCTGACCAGGAAGTGGTCTTTGTGTTAAATGAAGATGAATAACACATCAGTATTAATTTATTTGAGGAACTGAAGTTACAAAAAATACTTTCCTAAAAGTAGTGCATAGTGGAGACATCTACCGGTGTTGCTTAATGAGATGATATTGTAGGGAGGGATTTCCTTAAGTAATGATGAATACAAAATACATGCAGAACCCTAACTTTTAAAAATACATTGAAAAAGTATTATTTCTCTTTCCTGCAGGTTTCTAGTTCTCGTTCACAGTTAATATATTTTATGCAAAATATAAGT